TACATAAATTTACGATTTTCTTACGCACCGTAAGATTTACGTAGTTTTACGCTAAATTTTACGTAAGTTTATGATTTTCTTATGTACCGTAAAAACTTATGAAAGTTTACGCATATATATTTTTGCTGATGATTGATAATTGGCTAAGTTGTAATAATTCTGGGTATATAGTAAATAGTAAGTGCTAGGCATAAAAATAATAGTAAATTCTCAACAATAGATAGTTCTAAATAGTGAATTTTTAGAATTAGATAAGTATCAAAATTAGTAAATAGCAGTAGACAATAAAGCTAAATACTAGTAGTAGGCATTAGCCATGTAAAATTCAAATACTTAATAGTAAAATAAAGATGTTTTGAATTCCACCACTTACTTATTATAATCATTTTTTTGATAATGGATTGATAAATCTTTTCAAAAATTCATTATACAGTAATTTACTATGTTTAATATACCAAACTTATTATTCATTCTTTTCACTTTAATCTCATATCAATAACAAAAACCAACATAATTTATTATATCAGCATAACCAATATGATCTAGATTTGTGGGGTCTAAAAGTATTAGTACTCAAAGTGCACTTTTTTTATAAAAAAAATTAGTAGTAATACAAAGATTTATTTGTATATTTTTTACTATAAGTTTGCTAGTCATTTATAAGTAAAATATATAGGCCAATAGAAATCAAGTATTTTAAAAGTTATCAAATTTAAGCAACCCTAAAAATTTTGACTAAAACAGGTGGCTTAGAGGGTTGCTTATATTTGGACCTATATAGTAGTATTACAAATTGTCAAAATTTTTTAATCGATTAGTTAAATATCTATTTTTTTAGTTGAACAACTAGTTGCAACTAATCAATTAATCAATTAATTATTAGATTGCAATTAATCAATTAATTAATTTTTCAATAAATTGTAAATTGTAAGTTATTGATCAATTGATTGATTAAGTGCAACCAATTATTTAAAGAATTAATAATTTTTCAATTGATTAGCAATTAATTCTTTAATCAATTAGTTGCAATTGACTAATCAGTTGATTAATTAATTAATCAGTTAGTTGATATTTAAAAAATTCAATTGATTAGTTGTCAACTAACCAACTAATTGATTTTTTCAATTTTCAATTTGTAACACTAATTCTAAGATCAATATGCATAGTGTGTTGCTTTAAGCATTATTAAAAAAGTTATATATAAAAACCTCAGATATCTATATTTACCTTCTAAGTAAAGTTTGTAAAAATACTAATTATGAAAAATAGTTTTTGCAGTGATTTAAATAATTTAAAATATATAAATAAGTTACTGAAAGTTTGCAAAAGTCTAGTTTGGTTTAGTAGGTTTTTTTATAACTTAGCTCATCATATAAGCAGATTTGTATTATATACAAATCTGCTTATATAATGAGCTAAGCTATAAAAAAACCTACCAAACTTTTGCAAACTTTGAACCAAACTTCAAACCAGACTGCAAACTTCAAACCAAATCTGGACCAAACTCATAATTAAGTTTGAGTCCAAAACTAGCAAAACCTAAAGTCTAAGTTTAGTTTGATCCCAGACCAAACCCAGACTGAACTTAGAAGCACTATTTAAAAGTATATACCAAAAGAAGGAAGACAGAATCCCAGATATCTCTAATATAGATCATATTTGGATTTTGGCTAATTTGGCCTAATTTGTTAAAAATTAGAAATTCACCTTTGCTTAAATATTTCCAGATCCAGTAATCAGAATTGAATAAACTTTTTTTAAAAGAAGCACCTCACTGAGAGCTTTCATTTAAAAAAAAGTTCATCCAAATTGGACTTCTGGCTGCTGAGATATTTATAAAAATATATTTTTTTTACTCCTAAATTTACAAAAGTTTTGTTAAAAAGTTCATATATGATTTATATTCTAGATATCCAAGGTTCTAGGGAGACCATGAGATACTAAAAGCCTGAGCAGACCGATTCTTACAAGTTGCCAACTGGAAGTAAGAGAAGAACTAATAAAAAATTCAAATAAGAAAATAGTTTAAGTGTGAGTACTAGAGTTGTTGTAAACCTTACAAGAGCAAAAGTAGATAATCACAAAGATAACTCCCAAGTACATAGGTCAAGCTATAGTATAGGTTACTGAAATATATAGGTAGGACATGTACCCTAGCAAGTAAAACACTAACTTCTTGATAGAGGTCAATGTAAAGTCCACAATCATGGTACAACTGTTGCATTAAAGTGCTTTAATAATGACCAGGTGAGGTCAAAAAGAATTGTCCATATGTTTATAGCACCTGTTGTTTAGAAATAGTTCTCATACACTATTTGCCAACAGGCCCAGAGTTTATTACTTACTATATGTATTTTGTATAAGTTCAACCTTTATAATAAAGACCTGGCAAGACAGCCAAAATTTAAAAAAAAACAACTTTTATTAAGCTAAATTTTTAACCAAAATAACTTTTTATATTCTATATTTATATTCTTTAGGCTTCTAATAATACAATTATAGAAAAATTATTTTTAGTTAAAAGTTGTATTGAAGCCAATGTGATTAGATGTCTTGCACCATAGTTAAATTAATTTCAACCGTTAAATTAATTTGACCGCCCTGTAAAGATAATTCGGTTTCGACGGTTGATTTTATTTCTGCTGTTAAGATATTTTAAAATTGAATTTAATTTAGCCCCATCTACTGTATAGCCACAAAATTACACGTATTCGTGAAATTTTCGAGACGGTGTCGGTGTTCTTTCGCTATAACCATGATACTAACGTAATGGTCTATCAAAATGCATTTAATCATATAGAGGTTGCTTTTTTTTTTTACTTATTAAACAATTCGAAAATGCACTTTAATGCACTTTTACTAGTTTTACTATTGTTTATCATTTATTTAACTATTATTATTATTTATTACCACCTAGCTCGCTTTCCAAAATACCCTCTACCGCCTCGTTGTCTTAAAGGAGGCATACCACCATGCTGACTGTTACTATTAGACGTATGCTGTTGATCGTCTAAATTAGAAGTCGTGTCTGTAGTATCCGCTGATAAAGGAGTATTAGTGATCGCCGCATCCTCTTCAGACGTAACCTGCGATTGAGATTTTGTTAATATTTGAATTTGGACAGGTTGTTTGCTGTCAACACTCGGTTTTCTGCTACGGTCTCTCTCACGACGACGATTAAAAGAGTGTTCTTTTGTCTCAGAGGTAATAGATGTATTAGATGCGGTTGGTGTTGTTGTGGTTGGTGATGATGCTTCGATGGAGCTTTCTGCTACAGCTGGTTCTTTAACAGACTCTTTGATAATTTGTCTGATTTGATCTTTTTGCCGTTGTTGAATGGTAATTTTTACGGGTGCGTTTCTCTTGACTTCTTTATCTTTTGCGTCTGCTTTTATATCTTCTACTTGCGGTTTAGTCAGAATAGTAACTACAGGAGTTTCTGATTTGGTAGCTCCCACTTGGGTCTTCTGTCTCTCTTTCAACTTTTGTCTTTCTCGTTCCTTCCTTTTTTCTCTTATTTTCTCGCGATCTCTCTCACGATAACTTTCTTTCTCTTTATTTCGATCTTTTGATTTTTCATTGAACTTTTCTTGATCTCTTGCGTCTATAGCTTCCGTCTCTTTCTCTTGCACTTTTTCAATATCCTTGGTAGTTTCTTCGTCTTTCGTTTCTTTGGCTCTGTCATTATCTCTTTCCTTCCTATCCTTCTCTTTTCTTTCCTTCTCCTTTTCTCTTCTTTTGCGTTCTCGTTCTTTTCGAGTGGGCTTTCCCAGACCGGAAGGAAGGAAGGCCGCTTCAGAAACCTGCATCCCACGTATTTGTTGCATATGTTTGGTTTTGGATCCAGAATTCTTTGCGGGAGAGCTAGGTGGAGAAAGGACGGTCATTTGCAATTGCTTTGGAGGCGGTGATTTAGATTTTGCCCCAGACTTTTGAGCCCGCAAATGATCAAGAAGTGGTGTACTTTTTGGCTTTTCGATAACGTTGGATGCTGCTGTAGCTATTTTAAATTTATACATAAGTTAAATGAAAAGTACATAATAGGATAATAATCTAACCGGAAGAACTTACCGATAGCACCTGTCAGACGTGCCTCTAATCTTTCCAATTGGGTAGCGCCCCCCTCTAACCCAGAACCTGGTTCTTTTAAAATGGCTTGCCTGTTTTCATCAACCTTTAAAGATTCAAGGAATGCAAGGTAATCAGGATCTGAAAATAAAAATATATGAATTTTTTTTTTTTTGAAATATTTTGAACAATTTTACATGCCATAAAACAATACCATTTTCAATAGTTCCCTGTCTTGGGTCTGATTTCTTATGGTCTTTCGGTAGTTTCTGATAAACTGCAAATTCAACTACTGCTTTATTTTCGTTGCCTATAAGAGTATAGTAGCAATTTTATACGATGTTAGAAATAATTTTTTATAGATTAATCACAATTTACATGCCTTGCCTGTCGACAAAAAGGTGGTTGTCGTAACCACGGTGAAATTCTAAAACTTGCTCAACACTTTTAAAATGAAAATAAGCACGAGAAAATATGTTCTCTTTATTTTTACTAATAATAAAGGGGATTGATCAATCTAAATGTTAATTCACAGGAGTTTGTCAATAGTTAGATCATTACCTTTTGCTTATTCGGCCTTGATGGAACCGACACCAGTCAACGGTCTCTTCATTTACCCATTGTTTTACGGATTCCATGAATAAATTTTCAGGAAGAAGAGGAGGTAAGCGGCGAACTACAACTTTAGTTTTGGTGGCATTTTTACAACGCCCTGTTCGTTTAGCTTTAGATTTTTTTGGCTTTGACGACTTTATTGGTTTACTAGACATTATTATTAATTTTTAAGGTCAATATAACTCGATGAACTGATGTACTGCAACGTTAAAAAAACTTCGCTATCATGTGCATCCAATCATGCTTCATTAGATTTACATAAATTAACCAATCACATAGACTTTTTCGCGCTTTAGTTCTAAAGGTCTAACAATAATATGCCAGAACATATTCATTGTCCTGTTATGAGTGTTATGCGCCAGCAAGAGATCATGTATATGTCCTGTAAATTATGCTATGGAAAATTAGGTTCTCCCGCGAGAGAAAAGGGATTAGAGCAACACAAGTATAATAAACAAGACGCGAAAAATTACAAGCATAAAGGGAGTGCGCGTATATACGTAGATAAGGGATTATTCGCGTGTACCCGCTGTTGTGTTGCTTATGAAGCTTCGGATATATTACACCGATATCGACTTTGCATAGTAATTCCAGTTAATAATTATTTGCAAAAAGGTAAGTACATTTCCGATCTCGGTAGGTTATTATTTTTTTATCATTATTTGTATTTCTTTTTTACGGTCTAAAATTTTTCTGATAATTTTTTCAGTAACTATCTTTGGAGATAGCTTTGACAGTATTTTTGGCTGTAGTGCGACAAAGTTTCAAGAATTTAAAGAACAATTATTATTGGATTTGGATCCAAGAGAGCTTAATTTTCTTATATTCAGCGCTTTAGAGTGGATACTTGCTGGGGAAATTTATACTTTCACATTTTCTCAAGAACAATGGCATTTATTTAAAAAAAGCCAAGTTCAAAGCAACTCTGATAAAAATAGCACTTCGATTGTTGCTTCACGTATGCAATCTATAATGAAACCGTGTTTGACGGTTATCGAATACATCAGGAACTATAACTGCAATTATGAAAAAAAATGGGAAATTTTTTATAAAGAGAGCCAAAAAATTGATGAGCGATTATTTGAAAGATTAGATAATGAATTGAAAGAGGTTATAGTGGACAACACTTATGGATTGACGCACGAAGAACTTTACAATGAAGGCAGTAAAGGATTGTCTAACACGAAATTCATTCATGAATTTGATCATGATGTGTCAGATATATTGTTTGTTGAATTAAGCGATCATTTTGATCTAGATTTGTTTCATAGCCAAACGTACTTTCAAGACAGTGGGGTGTTAACCGAATTTTACTCACAGGACTGGAGTGATCAAGAGAACTTAGACGATATGCTGAACTGGGATCCCCCGGAAAATTGTAATTTTCCCCATGATAATGTAATTCGTGTCTCGTTCAACAGCACACCATCTAGTCTTTCACCACATTCCTTCAACGTTTACAACTCGCCGTTTGATAAATCGAGCAATCATTCCTTTGATAAGCATGGTGACATCGTTACAGAAAATAGCTTCGATGACTAAACACACTAAAGCACATTTATGCGTTATATTTGAGAAGTATGGAAACGCGATTTTGGATTGTCAAATAAAAGGAATAATTTATATGAACCCCCTACACACCCACAAAAAATTGTTTCTGCAATTTTGACAATCAAATTCAAGATCAGGAGTAACAAATCAGTGAAACAAAAATAACTTCGAAATTTTAATTAAGAAACCATCTTCTGTGGCCTAATTAAAATATTCCTCGTGAAATTTACTAATAGACTGTTATCCTATTATAACGCAGTTAATTTTTTACAGGACCTATCTTGTGGGTAGAGTTGCTAATGGAGTGCTCTAGACTATAATAAAACATATAACCCACTCCGGAGCACTGGTTATATGTTCTGGAGTACTCCATTAACAACTAACTCTAATGCTGACCATGCTGTGTCGATGAGATTAGAGAAATTGACAGGGCGTAGGATTGATTTTCCGATGTCAACAGTATTCGAACAAAAAAATTGGGTTATATTTTTATTTAGATATTATTTATAGTTAGAAAGGGCTACAGTATAGTAAACTTGCACGAGAAATTTTTTGCAAAGCGAACGTTTGTTTTGAATTTTCTGTTTGTGTTACGGTACACCTGACCCTGACTTTTGATTGGTTAATTTACGTCAGAAAATCATGTGACCGGAAAATCGATCCTAATCTCGGGAACATAGCGGGCTTTCATAGTGATTGGTCAAATTTTGTAGATCATCCCGTGATATTATTAAGATTTTATTGGTTAATCGAAAAATTACTAAAAATATCAAAATTATGAATAATACATATGTAAAAAATAATTATATTCGTGATTTAGTTAATACTAGCAGAAGTCTTTACCATAAAATTATATTAATTTAAATCTAGAATTAAAATCCTAATACAAATAAAACTAGTCAAATATTGGATAGAACTCTAATACCAAAATTTTATTAAAAAACTCTAATATACCATAAATAAAGAAAAAATAAAAAATACAAAAAGTAAATGGTTGACTCTATCCTATAATATTAATAAATAATAAAAAAAATAACCAAAAATAACTTTTAATAATTAATTCTATCAATATGCTAAAAGGTTACAGTACTACTATAGTACTTTTTTTAACTCTTCTCATGAAATCTATTAGCCTTATGACTCTTAACTTTATATTATTAGCCTATATAATATGTAGTCAGGTTTTTTTATTAGTTGAGATTACAAAATATAAGCTTTTACAAATAAAAAACGGCTTAAATAGTTGAGTTTGATTAAATTATTATACCTATAGGCTAAACTTAAACATTCAAACATACTTCTCATCTAACTTCTGAATTACTTCATGGATTGCCAAATTACTTTGACAGTTTATAGATCTGAAGGTATTCTTTCAATTTTTTTTGGTATCGAGCTTCACCAATTCGTATCTGTGGCCACCAAACCATTTTTGTAACTACAAAACATTACGCCAATATGTAGAACATATTGTGTAACATATTGTGTTGATTATCAAATCAAGTAATACCCGCTATGTTAATCTCAAATACTCTTATGTCAAGCAAATTCCGGGCTGAAGATTGCTGAAGATCACTTCCGATCATAAATTTCGTAGATCGTATCCAATAAAATCACAGGATCTTGTATAACAAAACAAATGCAAAAAATATAAGAAAATGCAAAAAATTGTAAATAATGCAAAATTTTACTATGCTAACTAACTTCCGACTTTTAAATAAAAGTTTTTGGCACAAAATTTTAGTTATAAAAAGCATTTTTATATACTAAATATATAGGAAATTTTTGATATACTACGACCCAAAATTTTTAGGCCAGAAATAATC